TTATGCGTTTTGTGCTGTGTAACAGCAGTACAAAACGCATATTGTCACGGGGTTGTCTGTGCGTGTTTTTGTGTGTGTGTGTGTCCGCAGCAATTTGTCCGCAACTTTCAACTCTGGAACCACAAAAGCTAGAAAGCTGAAAATTTAGGAGAAAGTTTCCCACCCACGTGTGACCCAGCAAATTTAAATTCAGCTTCCCCGTGCCCGCGGGTAACACGTACGGCCCCGTGCAAGTTTCTTACGGGTAGATTAATATCTCGAGGACCACGGAGCCTAGGAGGCTGAAATTTTAGGGCAATGACCCCCTGCCCACGCTCAACCTTGCCTATTCAAATTCAGCGTTCCCGCGCTCTTAAGTATCACCTACGGCCTCGTGAAAATTTTGGCGGGTAAACTATTAAGTCGGGAACTGCAGAAAGATATTCACCTTTCAAGGTCTCGAACTCAGCTTTCATGCGCAGGTGCGTGAAATTTTTAACTATTTTCCAATGTTTGAACTATTTTTGCATAGACTAAACTAAAAAGCAGTGAGAATCATTAACAGGCAATCGTTCGATAGGTTAAATTGCACAAAACGCATGATCACACCGGCTGGTGCGCATTGCTATTTATTTACTGTAGTAACATGTAGTAACGATCCTAATTTGTTCGTTTTGGACAAATTCGGATCGTTGCTACGGTAAAAAATGTTACACATTTCTCTTAGTAATTGCTGAGTTTGATGTGAAGCGGAGCACGAACCAACGAAATCGGCGATGCCCTGGCATGCTCTGAGAAACTGCTCGGTTGGCACCTTGTCATTCTCGATCTCCGGGAACATACGCTCCGGATGCGAAAAGTATGTGTTCACCTCACATGGCGAAATTGCGTTCATGTTCCTCCTGAAACAGCCCAGCCAGATCATGCGAAGAAAACAGCTAATCTGTGGCATTTCTCGTAACTTAGCCGTGGAGCACTGGGATATTCGTGCCTGAGGAACAAAAAGACTCTCGATGACGTCGAAAAAAAAAAAAAAAAAACTCAATGCATCCCTCACTCAAAATGGATAGATTTTTTTATGGAAATTGCCTTATTAAGTAAAAATTATGGAACGGCTGTTGACTTACAGCCTGGTTCTTCCGCAAAAAAACCAACAAAACCTCCCTCGCGGGAAAATACCGCGGATTTTAGATGGACTGCAGCGGAAAGACACCGTAGGCTAGTCACCACCAGGATGATGTAGCATCGATCAAAGCAACTGGAACAGTTATCCAGATGCATAGCTGCTTTTAGTTGCAGTTAATCTCGATATATCGCGGGTGAATCTCGGGGGCTCATCGAGAAGTCTGTATTGCTACATGAGCTTGGATTGTTGTTCACCGCGGATTCCCCGCTAATTCCCGTCTTGCGCCTTCCTGCCCTGCCCACGTGGGCACTCGGCTCGTCAATCTATCCACAATGCCGAGTCCCCTACATAGCCCCGAACCCACCAACCCCCGAAAACACCCCGCGATCTTGATGTAAATTAGAAATGCTTCGGAAAGTATAAGGGTGGAGGGTTGCTATAGGTGGCAGCATCCTGTGATGGTTGGATGGCTGCTTGGCATTTTCGGTCCAGCTGCGAGCGTTTCGTGGAGTTACGGCGATGATCTTTGAGCTGGTGGGGTGCGTGAAGTGCGGGTAAGTGTAGCATGGGCTGAATACCGTCGTGGCTGCTAATCTATCGGGCGAGATGACGGTCCCGAGATTTCTTGCAGGACCACATAGGAGGGGGGGGGGTGCGCTGAAGATTGCTTTTTTCATGAATTTGATAGATTCCGCGTCATCCAGCTCTCTCTCTCTCTCTCTCTTTGCCCTGGGAAGCCTATGAGGTCACTCTTCCTCCCTGCGCTAGTGGCCATCTGGTAAAATTCTGGAAGCTCCCGTTGTGCCCATCTCCTTAAATATCCTTTAAAATGTTGCGATAACTCGGCTAAACTTGCCGAGCAGTCGTTTTCCCATGTTTGGTGCCTGCGTTCTTTCCCGTTTTCATCGAAAGCCCTACAGCTTGAATGCAGAAGAAAAGGCGATAATTCTGCAAATGCAGGAGCTCCTACGGCTGTTGGGGAAGTGAGGAAAGTGTAGTACGGTTTGGCAGCTGCGCATTGAGTGTTCGTTCGGGGGTTTGAGCAGGCTGGTGCTGTGGAAGATGCTGTATGATGTCCAATACTGCCCGTGTGTCTGTTTGTTTTTACGTGATGAGCGACTCAAAATATCGTTGGGCTCATCGTACAACACCTGTCGAAGCGACTGAGCGATACTGGCACCTTCCCCAGCACCGTACGAAGTTCTCCGACGACGGCCCCTCTACCTCACGGCGGGTGCGGGCGATTCCTCCCAGGAAGAGAGCAGCGGCAGGGCTCTGGCCGGGGAAGAAGCAACCGCAGATTCCATCGAAACGGGATTCCTCACAGGGAGAGAGTAGCGGCAGCACATTGGGGCTCTGGCAGGGGAAGAAGCAACGGCAAATTCCATCGGACCAGAGATGAACTGAAAGTACAGACCAGTGGCGGAGGAAGCGACAGACCTAGTGAGATTCGAGATGGCCGAGCCGAACGGATTCGGATAATCCGCAAAATCGTACCAAAAGAGAGGGCTCTCATCACTGACTGTATTAAACTGGACTAAAGTGATCACAATCTGTCCCTTAACGTCACCCTAAGCCATCCTCCATTTTCTGTCCAGTACCATACTGTTCAGTTTCACAGATAAAGCGGGATTATTGGGGCATCTTTCGCCATTTTACCCCGACAAAGAGGAAGAGGGATTACGTTGTCGTGGATGAAACTTGAGGATGGGGTGAATAACGGGCTTTCAGGAGAACGGAGAAATGGAATAGATTTGGGTAGGGGCGAGGGGAGGGGGCATCTTTCGCCATCTTAGCCCGATAAAGAGGGGAGAGCGATTACGTTGTCGTGGATAAAACTTGAGGGTGAGGAGAGTAACGGGTTTTTTGGAGCATGGAGAAATACGACAGATTGAGCAGGAGGAAGAGGGGGGGGGGGGGGGGGGGGGGGGGG